TGTGTGTTGGAACTGGTAAAACCACTCCTTAAATAACTCACTTACCTTGAAAGCTGTATATCGATTGCTATAAGTTGGTTTCATCTTGATGGCATATAACACAACAGTAGCTTTGGTGTTAGACAAACATTTTCAAGCCACTTTTTGAAACACAAAGGGGAAGCGCACAAAGGGGAAGCTGTGTTCACATTTAATCCGAATCTGAATCATTATTGCAGGTTTATTGGCACAACCGATTATATTATTTATGACATTTGTGGTGATACAAATTTATATTGCATCCCTCAACTGCTTTGACCATGGTGTAAGTTTGGATTAATGGAATTCCCATCTAATGGAATAACCATCTAACAATTTGAGTTCTTTCAATTAAGAGAAGGCAAACACAACAGCTTTATGCTCTCTTATTTTGACATTGTGTTCTTATCGATTTTGGTGTCCTTTCAACTTAAAGCACATGAGGACAACTTTGGCAGGTGGGGCCAAATTTTCACCCCCAGCACATGTGATAGGCTGCACCAGGCCTGGAAATGACAAATAATGTCCAGAGATTCAAAACGGAAAGTACCAAAAGGTCTACTTCCTGTTTTGGTATCGGTGGGAGGGGAGTCACCCAATCAGTTCTTCTTCATGGTCTCTGTGAATGCACACTAATGGGGGTTAGGCCTGCGCCTACACAGAGGCCTCGGAATTTTCTGGAGCTAACAAGATCGCTAGGACTGGCCCACCGCACCCCACGTGGTCCGCCAGTCCTAGCAGCAAGATCGCTAGGACCGGCCCACTGCACCCCACGTGGTCCGCCAGTCCTAGCAGTTACCTCATTTCCTTTTTTTTCCACTGCAAGAGGTCTCTTCTCTGGAGCTTTCCCTCTAGGAATAATTGGTTCATCTGTAAAGAAAAATTGCAATTGTTAGTCTTCTCCTCAAATAATTTATATTTCCTATTGATTATTTAAAAAGAAAAAGAAAAAAAAGATTGTTATTAGTCTAATCGTCCCCCCCATTTCTCCCCTTCTCGTCTCATTTCCCGCTTTTTATGGCCCTTGCAGGCCCCTTCAAAAAGTGCATTTCTTGCACTAATAAGATCCCAACTTTGGACGGTCACGAAGCTTGCTTATTTTGCCTTGGAGAGGCTCATCAACCCTCAGGTTGTCTTCATTGTAAGAACTTTTTAAAATTTATTTATTTATTCAACTTATATGCCACCCACTCTACCCAAAGGTCTCTGGGCGGCTCACGATTGAAAAACAATTAAAATACAATAAAAGATAAAATGATTAAAACACAATTAAAATACAATCTAAAAATTGCCATCAGGATCCACAGTTGATGTTATTTCAATTAAAAGCCTTTTGGAACAGGAAGGTTTTGACCTGGCACCAAAATGTCATCAGCATCCTTAAGGGAGGGCTCTTTCAAAAGGGCCCCCTGGCTAGATCTTAACTTTACAAAATAATCAATTAAATTGAGACAACAAATGCTGTGTGCCTTCCTTTGGGATCAATCCCTTAGGCCGCCTACTACAATGGACACTCCTCAGACCCCTCAACTACCAGCTGCTTCAGCCATGGCGTCTCCAGTTCAGTCCCCAAAATCTAAAACATCTGAATCCAAGTCCTCCAGGTCTACTACTCATTCTACACCTCTGTCTAAATCCAAATCCACTTCAAAGACCAAGAAATAATAATAAAAAATCTCCACCAGAGTCTCATTCTACAGTACAACAGTCTTCCAATCAATGACACACAATTGATTTGGACACTGATAAGGATTCCATCCTAATGGTATCGAAGCTTCCTCCTTCTCCACTACTTGCCGGATCACCATCCTGGGCGGATACTTCGGCCGAGGTACAGACGGTGGAGTATTCTGCAGATTCAAGCCCCAGATCACTGGCTGGCTCTGGGTCTGTGTGTGGCTCTGGGTCTCCTTCCATCCCTGACCCAGTTACCATGACGAAGAGCAAAGCCAAAACACACCATACCAGTCAGTCTGATACCGTCGTGCATCAGCCTCTGAAGCATTCAGGGATGAAGGTATTGAAAGGCTCCAGGGCTTGAAAATATTGGCTCAAGCATGTGAAGATCTTTGAGCCTCCTCCATTTTATGGAATGCCAACCATGCCGTACCACTGTCATCATCAATACTTGCATCATGGTATGGAGCACTATTATGATCCTCAGATGCACTATGGATATGGTTATCCTTCTGATTCCTCTGACTCTTCGTCGTCTCGATCCCAATCCGATACCGAATTGGACAAGGACAATTTTCCATTACCTACGACCCATATCGGACAGGGTAAAAGACATCATACCTCGGCTTTATCTGCACTGGTACCAAAGAAGCACAAGGCTAGTAAACACTCGGTACCGGCACTTCTACCATGGTTTCTCTTAAGGATTGACACACCGTGTCTTGAGGTCTTCCACTGTTCACGCTGCATCTACCTGTACCGAGCTGTCCCTCAGTACCAGTCACGGTACCAAGCATCAAAAACATCCTTCGGGGAGTACCATGCCATCGCTACCATCCAAGGACAACCAACCAGCGAAGTGTCAAAGAGTTCAACGCTTCCCAGACACTCTTGAGCCTTCCTCTTCACTGTGTATTGACACTGTGTTCCTATCGGTTTTGGTATCCTTTCAACTTAAAGCACATGAGGACAACTTTGGCAGGTGGGGGCCAAATTTTCACCCCCAGCACATGTGATAGGCTGCACCAGGCCTGGAAATGACAAATAATGTCCAAAGATTCAAAACAGAAAGTACCAAGAGGTCTGCTTCCTGTTTTGGTAGCGGTGGGAGGGGAGTCACCCAATCAGTTTTATGTAAAAGGCATCACTCTAGAAGGGAGGAACTTTCCTTTTCTGTGTGATAAAGTCATCTCTGAGGTAGCTTGAGCACTACAAAAATAGCTTGAGAGAAGTACACCTTGTACCACTCCTGCTTTAAGTATACAAATCTTTCAGGGCGGTTTACAAGTGGGATTAGACACAGTGATCTGGAAGAAAGAGAGGCATCTCCCCCCTTTATCTACTATTGAAAGTCATCCATGGCAGCCATTGGGTGTGTATGATTCCTGCACAAACTGAAAGGACTTATATGCACTCTGGCTTCTAGAGAGAAGAACTGAAGCATTCCAGCTGGTCTCCAAATGTAAAGCTCTTAAAATATATGTGAAAGGTTTGAAAGAGAAATTCTGAAACTGACTTTTTTCTGTGTGGGATATTGATGGAGTCAAAGAGGTAACCTGTGGAGAACTATCTGCTGTGATTATGCACTGGTGAACTGTCTTGATTTCCTGACTTTTTATAATGCTAATGCCCAGCAGTCTTTCAGTAGGAGAAAAATTGCTTTAGGACTGAGGGAGTACACAGCTTGCTTTATTTCATTCTTCTTAAAGCATAGTTCAGTCACTCTTCAGTGATGGAGAACCCTGTAGAAAACAATAGGACCAAAACAGACACATGCAGGCACACACACACACACAAACAAACAACCCACCCCATAACAATCTGCTTGCTTACTATATTGATTTCTTGCATATGTTTCTGTTGAGCAGCGTGTTTAGTTCATTTTATAAGTCTCATTTGATCCAGACTCAAAGAGCTGTAATAATGCCATACTCGTTCTATACAAAGAGATGTGTCCTAGTATTGCTACTTGAATAATTTTGAATCCTTGCTTTGTACTGCCAGTAAACCCGCATTATACTGGGACAATTATAGACGAACCCTTATGCAGCAGATCATTGAGTTCACTTGTTATCTCTTTGTTGATCTTTTCTGTCTGGCATTTTTATACTGGAATCACATTTACCTGTATTTACAAGGACCATGTATTGAGCTGTGATTTAAACACTGTTCACACTGTATACTTCAGTGCATGTAACCATATGGTGAGAACATTTCTTTTGAGTTATTATCTCCTCATATTGTTTCTGCACGAACATGCATTCATTCAGAAATTAATTATTGCTACTCTCAGATGTTCATGTTTGAAAACTGTAGGGGTGCAGTATCTCCAGTTTCCACAGACAATCTTGTTTCCGGTCTATCATACAGGAATGTGCATGAGAAGCAGCCTTATACTGAGGCAGGTCGCTGGTCTGTCTGTATCATTCTTCTCTCTGTGGCTCTCCTCCTAGGTTTCATAGAGGGGCCTTTCCTAATCCTCCCTGGAGACCGAACTTGTAGAATACAAAGCCTATGCTGTGCTGTTCCCCAAAGGAGCAAATAAGGCAACCAAATTACTAGGCAACTTTGCACTTTCTTGCTGTCTGTGAAGAGGTGTCTGGAGTGTTCCTTCACCTTCCTTGAGTGAGACTTCGATGACAGTGTCTTCCGTGCTGGTGCTTGTCTTCATGCATCCTGCTCTGCCCATTGACTTGGAGATGGTGTGATTTCCCCTTGTATTTAATTATGCCGGCTCCTTGGGGACTCTCTTGGAAGAAGCACAGCTAATTTCCCTCCCTGTATTCAAGAGCATTGACTGCTTCAAGTCCAAAATGCATTGATTTCCTGAGCCTGCCTTTCCCTTAAAAGAAGGCAAGCAAAAAGTTGGTGTAAAGAAAATTTTGGAGACTCTGTGAAAGGGAGTGAGAGATGCTAAATATATATACTGTATAAAGAGAGAAACATAGTAGATGAGACCTAATGTTCTTGTATGAGAAAAGCTGGGTGCACAGTTGGGCTGAACTGATAAGACCGGATTCCAGTCACCAGTTGAATGAATAATGAATGAATAATGGGGGCTCAGTACATGGCGGTAGTATTGAAACTGAACGTGGGCCGCATATTCTTCATTGTAATCCAAATTAAGCAGGACCTTTCAGCTTTAATGTTTGCAACACAGGCATGGTGCATGTGCTATTTGATACACAAACATGTTTCATTGTTTTGTGCTGATCTACATTATAGCTCTCCTCACTCTTACCACTACACCAGTCAAGTTGTACCTGTTTCGTGCAGTGCATTTTTTTCCCTGTTTTTTGTTTTAGGTATTCTTTCCAGGATGAAGAAGACATGTTTATGGTGGTGGATTTGCTTCTTGGAGGGGACTTGCGTTACCACCTGCAGCAAAATGTCCGCTTTGAAGAAGGGACTGTCAAGCTATTCATCTGTGAGCTAGCACTGGCACTGGACTATCTCCAAAGCAAGCACATCATCCACAGGTGAGTCATGGGCTCCAGGGATACCTTAATACTGTTCTTATGTAATTGTCTTCACCCAGATTAATGGCTTCATTAATTCTGCTGGGAATCTGTAGTGCCAAAGCATGGCAGCACTTTCTGGTTCACAAATTTTTGCATATAAACAGAGAACTTTAATTTGGCAGATTGCAATGAGAGGACCCATGTAGCTGTTGGAAGTGGGATGTTGTGATTAGAGTGTTGAACTAGGATTTGAGAGGGCTGGTTCACTTTCCTGTCAGCGTGTAACTCGGTGGGATATCTTGGGCCAATTTATTTATTTATTTGTTTGTTTGTTTGTTTGCAATTACACTTTTTTCTGTCTGATCCGTATCTCAGGCTTGTTTTGAGGATAAATTGGAGTGAGGAGAGCCATCTACATTACTTGAACCTTTTGGATAAAAGGTTAGAAGTATGTGAATAAAACAGAGAAAAAAGATATTTCAGTTACCATTTGTAGATATATTGCTAAAAGAGTATGGAGTGTATTATTGTGTATAAAACAAATATTTAGTGATGAGTGTTTCTGTGTGGTGATGTGTCATTATTACTGTCCTCATCATTAATAGTGTTAGTATCTGCATTTGTGTATTTTTGCAACTTAAAAACATGAATGATTAGTATAAAATTTTAGTTCCTGTAGATAGGAATTGAAAGGGATGGGCTGTCCTTTTCACAGGTCTTTGCCCTCCCATTGGAAATAAGATATTAGACGAAATCTTTGCATTAAGGATGGGTGTTTAGGGTTAAAACAAGTGAACAAGGTTATGAAAGAGGTTCTTACTTTTGATTTTGGTTGTCAAAAGGCTCTGAAGTCTGATAATTTGTGCTTCCCAAAAATGGTGTGCTGAAAATATTCAGTTTCGATTGGGTTTCCTCTATTTTGTTACCTCTGTTTGACCCATGTATGACTTTCCCCTCCTTCTTTTGCCTCATCCAACCACGGTTCAATCCTAACGCTTCTTTCCCCTCCCCTTTCTGTCCTTCATGGGAGGACCTTTGGAGGGCACTGAAAATGTTTTAGATCCTAAAAATTGCTGTGTGGCTACTGATCTCGTCAGACTTCTGTGGCGCAAGTTACAGAACAGGATTCCAACCATTGTGTCCCTTTGGTCAGTTCTGTCATGACATTGTTAAGATAAACTCCCAGAATTGTTCCTATGAACGAGTATATAAATAGACATTCCATCCACTTTAATAGTCCATGCAGGTTTTTCATAGGGAAGTCAACAAATTTAGGTTGTTGACCACAGACATTTTTAATCCACAAACACTCACTGTAAAAAATCAACATGCATGTATGCATGCTTGCTCGCCTGCCTGTCTGTCTGTCTGTCTGTTTGTTTATTTGGCTTTGATCCCACCCATTTAGATTCAAACAAATCTACTCTGGATGGCTTACAGTCTGAGCAATGTAAAACAAGAATTAAAACAGACAATATCCAAACAAAAAAGAGAAGTAAGCAAAGTCTAAGATAAGAAAACACAGGGAACTAAGTGATGGAGGAGGGGAAGGCCTGCCTGAAGAACCAGGTCTTCAGCTTTTTCTTTAAAACTCCCAGCAAGGGTGCCAGACCGGCAGGGGAAAGATGTTCCAGAGACGAGGGGCCACCATCGAGAAGGCCCAGTTTCTAGTTCTCTCCTTCCTGGCCTCTCTCGGGGTCAAGCCCCTCAGCTGCCCAGCCTGGCTAGATTGAGTGACACGAGTAGAGCTGCATGGGAACAGGCGCTCTGCCAGGTATCGAGGTCCTAAACCATTTAGGGCTTTATATGTAAGCATTACTACCTTGAAGTCAATGCAGAAACGAATGGGCAACCAGTGTAAGGCCATCAAAGTGGGGGGAAATGTGATAATATTTTTCACCCCAGTTAATAGTCTGGTGGCCATATTCTGGACCATTTGTAGTTTCCTAATCAATCTGAAGGGTAGCCCCACATAGAGCACATTACAGTAGTCTAATCTCGAGACTACGAGTGCATGGACCAGGGTGGTGAGCACCCCAACGTCAAGATAAGAGCGCAGCTGGGCAATCCACCAAAGATGTAGATGGGCAGAGCGGACCACTGACACCACCAGGGACTCCATGGTAAGCGCTGGATCAAGATGGACCCCCAAGCTATGGACCATGCTCTTTGTGGTGAGAGTCGCCCCTCCAAAGAGAGAGGGATTTTCCCAAACCACTAATAGGAGGGACACCCACCCTCAAGACCTCTGTCCTGTCCTGTCCGGGTTCAGCATCAGTCCATTCTCTCACATTCTTTGCAGTATAGCTAATGTAGAGCTGAGTATCATCAGTGTACTGATGGCACAAAGCACCACACCCCCTGATGACCCCTCCCAGTGGCCTCATATAGATTTAAACAGCATTGGAGAGACGATCGAGCTCTGCAGCACCCTGCAATTGAGGAGCCACAGGGGCGATACACTCTCTCCAAGCTGGACTCTCTGGGAACAGTCCCCCAAGAAGGACTGGAGCCAGGCAAGAGCCAGGCAACCAATCCTCAACTCGGAAAGCCGTCCCAGGAGTATACAGTATCAAAGGTGGCTGAGATATCAAGGAGAAGCAACAAGGGCATTTTGTCCTTATCGGCCTCTCTCAGTAGGTCATCAAGCAGGGCAACCAGTGCTGTTTCCGTACCGTGATACGGCCTGAAGCCCGACTGGAACAGATCGAGGGCATTGGTTTCATCCAAGAGAACCTGAAGCTAATTGGCCACCACTGTCTCTACAACCTTGCTAAGGAAGAAAACATTGGCGACGGGCCTATAATTGCAAATTTTGTCCACCGCCAAGCTTGGTTTCTTCCTAATGGGCCTAATGAGTATTTCCTTGAGGGCAAGGGGAACCTTGCCCTCCTGCAGAGACCCATTAATTATTGCAGTGGCCCATTCAGGTGTAACAGTACTGGCTGCTTTGATTAGCCAGGGCAGGCAAATGTCAAGGGAGGAAGTGGTGGAACAACAGCAATCAAGTACTTTGTCAACCTCGTGACATCACTGAAAGTGCCTAATTCTTATCAGACAAGACAGGGTGCTGGTTGTCTCCACTCAATCTACTGGTTTTAAATAGGGGGTTAGGTCCCAGTGGTTGGCCTCCACTTTAGCTTTAAAAAATGCTGCAAATTGGTCACGTGAGATACTAGGGGGAGGCCAATCACTGTGAGCAATTTCAGATAGATCGTGTGTTATGTGGAATAATTCTGTCTGCTGGTTGGAAGCTTCACTTATCTGGACAGCAAAGTAAGCTTTCTTTGCAGCCTTTATCTTAGAAAGGTAAAGGTTGGATGCAATCCTAACAGGATTTAGGTTATTTTCTGTCGGGTTCCACCTCCAAATGCTCTCCAGTCTTCTCCTGTTCTGCTTCATAGCTCTCAACTCCTTGTTAAACCAGGCCACTGGTCGAGCTCTGCAACGGAGAGGTTATTCAGGAGCGATCGTGTCTACAGCCGTGGCGGCGGCGGCGAATCAGCCGTCAACCAGAGCCTCGACAAGAGCGCCGGAGAGGTTGTTCAGGAGCGATTGTGTCTACAGCCATGGCAGCGGCGGCGGCAAATCAGCCGTCAACCAATCGGTATCCCTTGCATGGAGTCCTGGAATTCAATGGGATCCAGTAACCTGCGGGGGCATACTATCTTAATGGGTCCAAGCTCCCCACATAGAGAGAGAGAGCTACTGTGAGGATGCATTTTATTAGGTGGTGATCTGACCATGACAAGAGAACAGACACAAGGTCAGTCACAATCGGACCACACTCCCGGAAACCTTTGCCTCCACATGGATGTTGAAATCACCCAGGACAAGCAGCCGGTAAGGAAAGGAAATGGCTGGATTATGGGGAGCACAGTAAACCAGCAAGATCCCAAATGGAGATAAAGTCCACCAGCTCCAGTAAGGAAAGGAAATGGCTGGATTGCGGGGAGCACAGTAAACCAGCAAGATCCCAATACAATCACTAGCCCCAATCGACATGTGAGGGCCTCCAGACCAGGCGTTGCCAGAACACCCACCCACACAACACACACACAAACACAGAATAAGATTGTAGATCAGCTGGGACTTATTGGATACAGATCTGGAATTCAACAACACCAGTTTTAGAGTGGAGGGGCGACTGAGCTGGCTACCTCAAGCCTGACATGTGGTCACAGAGCCAGAACAGTGGACAGCCTTCAAACATCTGTCCACTGTTCCTTTGGAATGAGAGGTTACTGTGCCAATGCCATATCTCCCTCTACCCATAAATGCCTGGATATTTAAAGGACTCCCACGGGGGGGGGGGAAGCCTTCCACTCCAGTCCAGAAAAAAAGAAGAAGAAGAAGAAGAAGAAGAAAGAAACCTAATAAGTAATGAAATTAACATTCATTGTTTATTTTTGCAACTTAAAACACAAACAATTAATATAACATTTTAGTTCCTGTAGATAGGAATTGAAAGGGATGAGCTGCCCCTTTCCCAGGTCTTTTGTTATTTTCAAAAGGGTTAGCTGATGACAGTGGTAAACTACTTTATTTATTTGTTTGTTTGTTTGTTTGTTTGTTTGTTTGTTTGTTTGTTCGTTCATACATACATTTATTTATTCATTCATTCATTCATTTACTGTAATTTATTTATTTATTTATTTATTTTCGTTTCGTTTAGTCGTGTCCGACTCTTCGTGACCCCATGGACCAGAGCACGCCAGGCCCTCCTATCTTCTACTGCCTCCCGGAGTTGTGTCAAATTCATGTTGGTTGCTTCGCAGACACTGTCCAGCCATCTCATCCTTGGTCGTCCCCTTCTCCTCTTGCCATCACACTTTCCCAACATCAGGGTCTTTTCCAGGGAGTCTTTTCTTCTCATTAGATGGCCAAAGTACTGGAGCCTCAGCTTCAGGATCTGTCCTTCCAGTGAGCACTCAGGGTTGATTTCCTTTAGAACTGATAGGTTTGTTCTCCTTGCAGTCCAGGGGATTCTCAAGAGCCTCCTCCAGCACCACAATTCA